GCCACCAAACTAGTCGAATAGCCCAGTGGCATTTACCTAATGCCGCGTTCATACTCCGCGATTCGAGCGAATCAGTGCAACCGACCGCGCTCTCGTTGGACCGTTGTAACAGCTGATAAAGCGACTCCCACCGATATATAACTAATCAATCTAATCACACCAACTTTCACAACATCGACGCTGTTCGGCTAGGGGGGAGCATACTGCACTTTTGCTAGTTCATGTTAGTTGACCTTAAACTCTAATAAAGCAGCGAAATTGTGCAGTCTGACAACAGGAATTTACCTTTAGCCTTAGCCTTTACAAGGTGGCGTGTTTAAGTCTCACTGACTATCATTTGGCGCCCCCACCAAGCCGAACTGAGCAAGAATATCCACAAAAAAGCCGTGCTACAGCTATGCACTACAATTGGTTCACATAATCGACGGAACTGGCTCAAATAGCAACTGCAGCGGTCCAATGACTAGCGGTGGAGCGCTGTCGGACACGGTTGTGCGACTCCCAAATCGCGCCTCTGAATCGCTCGAGTCTCAAAGTATGAATGCTGGCCTAATTGCCTCCCACCCCACCAGTTCGTTACATTCTCGCACTACTCACCTGTATGCTGGTCTATCCGGAAGAAGCTTTGTGGGTCTCCCTTTGAAATTTTGTAGGTAAGTGTGGAGGGTGATTTGGAATCGATGTCATCGCCGTCGGTAGCATCGATCTTCACAACGACGATATTCTGAAAATGATAGTGAACATTTGTACACTCCTTATCCCTGAGCCAGAGTAGGCGTGGCATTTGACATGGCACGGAATTGGTTACTCGTGGAATATTCCAGTCTGGGACAACTGTCATCTTGTTCTGTGTTGGACAGAGACACGACAACAATTGTGTCAAGATGAAAATATCTCACCAGAAGCATAGACACCTTCAGGTTAAGTTGAAGCATGCGGCCACGCCTACCCGATCTCAGGGATTTCGAAGTATACAGCGAATGTTAATTAAGAAAATTCGAAGAAATTTCACAGAATGGCTGATTCGGGGCGAGAGACTCTCCATGGTCCAATAAAAAGCCATTCGGCTGACTTGAAACGGGTGGAAGACTGCCCTCGGGGTGTAATGGTTAGCTCACTAGCAAGCGTTAGACTGAGGATGGTGCCTCGCAAGACAGCCTTCTGTCCATGACCCAGCATTTTTGTGATAATTTTTGCACCACTAATGGGCTCGACAACTGATTCATACACAAATCCTCCCCCCCCTGTGTTACATAACTGGTGAGGACTCAGAGACGTCTTCATAAAAACCATTACTATTCTGGAATGATAATCCCTTTCGTGCTGTATCCCAAAAGAATTGATTGAAATTGAGCACATTTTTAACTACCGAAAAAGGTTACGCAATAAATATGAAATTTTATTACGGAAACGAAGCAGAATCTAAGCTTTCTCTTCTTTTACTGACATCACTGGGAAACGTTTACTATTCTGATACAGTTGATATCGTCGCAATAAGTGGAGGTGGGTCGATGGGCATGGAATGAGCCCACAGCGGTGTTTTCACCAATGGTTGCTTTGCCTTGAATCGGTAAGCAGCCAATCACCAGTGTTAGGGAAAGTTAGCCAAAGCTAAACCCAGTAGGCTGTTTCCGCTCTCCTGACACCGCCCCGACTGATTGCGACGACACCAACTATACAACAAAAAAGTGCAATCTAACCTGAGGCGAATTCTCCTTTACATTTGCGTAATAGATCGGAAGCATCGGCACTGGACGATGATCATTCCTATCCAGTATTCGAACAAACACGTGCAGTACTCCAGTCTTCGCTACTCGGGCCTGTGGGCTATCATTGGCTTCGATGGTCAACCAGTAACTGCTTTGCTCTTCACGATCCAATACTCTTGACGTCCTTATCGTTCCTAAAAGAGTAACATCAGATTAGGTTACGTCATCTATCTAAACAAAACGAGTTTCCATATGCCTGATTTTTGCATTTTAGCTACCAATTTTTACATCCACATTTGTTCCAAAGACATTTCTCTCGCCTCCCGATCATGACATATCATGATTTATGGTCCCTTTGAGGCGGGTGTATATGGAACGATAATGATGTCTCGTCATCTTCCGTTCATTATTCGCCCAGTCACAAGGCATGAATAATTAGCTCGTTGTAGCGCGGCTGGTCTACAGAGCAGCATCAGCAAATAGCAACACGACACATTAATAGATCCGTTGAAGCGGACACAAGCCGCAACACTGGCTAATGGCTTATTCTTCCAGAAAGCAACGCTACCCATTAACAATTTTTCTTTGGAAGTTGATAGAGGTTGAGTCCACTAAAGCCAGATAATCCTCCCTCTTCCCCTTTTCGGGCTGTTACACGAAGTAACCAAGAAACCTTAAGTAAAGCTCGACAAAGTTGGGAAATATGGGCAACTTCCTTCAAATAAACGCACCCTTGGAGCAATGCCCTTCAGTTGGGGAAAATTTTTGCAAAATACGACCCCGTCAAAGTTTGCTGCTCTGCTACGAATCCCCTTTCCGCATCCCCCATCCTACCTGTCTTCCTAAATTCTGCCTATTTTTACCAATGAGTTTTTCGAAGACCACTTTTCCTCCAAAAACTACCACTGAGCGAGGTCGGAGGAGGGTAGAGTACACAACGCACTCGAAATAGGAGAAAATAATAAAAAAAGAAGCCGACAATCAGAATTATTTTCTTAGAAGCAGATACGACCTCCCTTCTTTCAGGGAGCGAATGCGAACCCCCTTGCTGAGATCCCAAACGTACGAAGTGCCCTGATTCCCTTTCCCATTTATGGCTCCTTCCTTTCCGGAATGAAAACCCTTTCAAACAATTTTCGCGCTGGCCGTGTAGGCGGAGTCAGACAACATCCAATCCGTGCCTCTCTTTGAACTGCGTTAGGAGTGACGCACCGAGGGGAAGGTCGTCCGTCTCCGCCTTAGTTATCGTGGAATATGCTTCCTTTCCGTTGGCTCAGATAGCGCCTTATTTTCTAGGTTACGAAGCATAACTATAGCAAAATACCACTACGTTTGATGCATAACATTCTATAGAGTCAATCTAGCTAGATTTGAGGAACTAAGCAACTTTAGTAGATTCTCAGAAACGTCCTGGTAATGGGGTCTTTTAAATATACGAATACCACAGCAACTACTTCAGGCATGAAATCTGCAACGCCAAGGACAGATGTGCAACAGAGAAATTCCCTTACCTCCTTTCGTTTTCCGCTTCCTTTTCACGGCCATTTTTTTTGCTCCTAGACTCCTTCAGAGAAAGCCTACGCTTGGCAACCAAACTACCCTGCTCTACAAACTAGGTCCCCTGCTTTGAAACCTCGTTTGTCCCCCCCCCCCATCCCCCTGCTCATAGCCGACTCCTCTGCTAATAATCCAGCTGTCAATGTTGTTGGTGTCTCCTAATCCTTTCGAAGACAGTAATTACCTATTTGACTGAAAACTCTCCTCGGCTCATTGGAAGCACGAACTAAGCTCCTAACTCGAACATAACAAACTTGGCTCTCTCGTAATGATTTTTTTCTCCTCATACTCCCCAAATAGTGTTTCCACTAGTTTGCCGGTCACAGCTGAACAGCTCTCAACTAGCACCTTCATACGGCCCATCTGTCACATTAGCTGCATCTTCTGAACACATCAAAACAACCACCAGCCAACACCCTAATTAAGCCATCATGCGGCCGTAGGATGACTATTGATCGACCACGATAACGGCGCGTCCTTATGAGATGAAATATCATCTACTAATATGAAAATGAAAAATTTTGCCAGATGTTAGATGAGGGTCTAAAGAGACCGCAACCGGAATATTCCATAAATGTCTGAATCAAATCAGCCATCTCCTCGTAGAAATCCGACCAACAACCAAAACGAGCATCAGAACTCAGGTGAGAAGCCGCTCCGAGCCCTAAGCTTTCAAAGCCTGCCAAGCAAAGTTCCCATACGAAGGATCATGGCAACTGTAACTGGTCAAGGAGTCGTCTACTGGCAGGGAAGTGTAAATCCAGCAAAAATCCGATGACAACAAAAGACCCAGAACAACTGCCCACAATCATATACCGGAAATCCACTCCCTTCAGGAATAGCTCACATCATCGTTGTGCGAATTCTGTCAGGGAGAGGGGGCATGTTTGGTCATTGAGGGAGGCTAATCGTGTTAGACCTTGACAGAATTTTTCCGACTCTCCCTGACTGGCGGAGCAGCACATCTACTAGCTAATTCTGATAGTTGATCTTCTGATAGTGGTGTCCAATTCTCCCGCTCGGCAAAATTTTGGTAGGTAGATTGGAAGCAAAGCAATTCCGAAATTCCAGCAGGGGGTCGCATTTGGTTGCTAGAGAAAGGGGTGGTCTTAGCTGCCTTCGTGAAGGACGTTCCCAGTTGCAGAGCTCTCTCGATTTTTCCCATCTTCGTCTCCCGTTTCTATCCACTCTCCCCTTCCGCTTGAAGGAAGTTTTTTCTTTGGAGGGGGAGGGGGCAAAGAACGGAAATATTCCTGTAGAACAGTGGTAGGCGGGGAAAATATAGGAAGATGGTTGGTAGTATAGGCAAGGGAGAGTCGTACTGTATGAGGGATTCGGAGGGTGGTAATTCTCACTTTTTCCAAACGGCAGGACGTGCCCTAAAGGGTCTTAACTACATCTCCCTCTCACTTGAGAGCAGTGACCACGCCATTTAACCATCCTGATAATACACTCCGTTCAAGAAGCCCTTGCCACTGGTCATTCAACCCTGTCAGGATCAGAGGTGAGATGAGGAGCCATTTTGAGTCATAAGCTTCGAAGACACTTAGGCTAGGGAAGATTCGGCTCTCTCCGTTCGGTTTTTACAGTATACTTATCCCAACAATTCCGTCGTACTTGTGAGTTAATCCCCGGACTAGCAAACATATCTATGACCGCTTTTTTGAAGAATCGTTCGGTGTTGACCTCACTACCGCTAGCCATCGTTCCACAGACAAAGGCCTCAATTATCGTTCACCGATCACACTTGACTAAACATAGAGGTCTGTGATTTGAATGCCGACGTGAAACTAACGTCTAACCAACATAGGCACACACCTTAAGATAAACAGACAGGAACTCCCAGATCTTTGTCGCCACCTATTGCAAGCTGAAGAGCCAAGAAATCGCGAATTGATCCGGTTTTAAAACCAGTGATGAGAATCTGACCTAATGAGAAGCAGCTGGCCAGCAGCGAACTGCAAGATTCCCACCCCCCACCCTCCCACATACATGATATGACCCGCAAAAGGGAGACCTTAATACGCCCCCGCTCCCTTCCATTACCGAAGTGTCATGGAAAATCCACTCCACATTACCCTGTCCACAAGTCCTCGACTTAGTGAGAGTTCATTTCCTTGGCTAATATCTTGAATTAGTTAGGAGTAATTCCTTGGAGAGCTAATGTAATGAAATTCGGTCAAAGCTTATCTCGCGACATCGCTCCTTAATGAGATTTCTGGGTCCACCACACCATCACAAAAACACTTCTTGGAAAGATCTACAATAACAAAGGCTCACTCCCATGTTAGGCAGACTCTTGTCTGTTTCCACAGGAGGATCAAAAGTGAATTACGAAAGCCGCAGAGAACACCCGGAAAGGCAGGGGCCGCGCAATGAATATAGTAAAAGAGAGATAGTCAACTGACCTGAAGGCTAGAGCAATGATAAGCACAACCAGGTAAGAGAGTACTGTCTGAATGGGGGAGTACCCTGAGCTATTTCTGACCTTTTAATCGAATTTCAGTGATCTAATGCGTAAGCTTGAAGGGTGGCTAAATTTATTGTGGCATAAAGAATCAGAGCACGGTCTACGTTGGTTCTTTAAAGAGGAGGGGAGGTATTGCTTCGCCTGGAGGGAGAATAAAGTCGTGTCGGGCCCGGAGAAATAATTTTCTTGCATTGTATGATTTTTCGGTTCATGTTCGCTAGTACGCCCCTGATGAGGCACTCGCCAAGAACCAATATTTCGATACCTCAATCGGAGCGTCTACCCCTTCCCCCACCTAGCGCTCGGCGGTAAGTTTCGAAAACGTCTGCTAGGCAGCCGGTTGTGTAAAGGAGGTTGTACAGGAGGAAGAAACTCTGATGGGGTGGGGGGGAGCCCTAACTCGCGAAAATTTTTCCCAGAGGCAGGATGTGCTCTCAAAAAAAGCTGTTCCCGGAATGTCACCTCGAAAGTACTGCAGTTGAGCGACTTGCATCTTTCAAAGAAACAAATGCACCTTCTTCAGAAGAACACAGCTCTCTGCCTCTTCCAAGCAACTGTAACCTCACCACTTATGCAATACGTCCCTCTTTCCCCTCATCATGCTATCCCATATTCTCACAATATTTGATCATTTCCGCATAATTGGACACCGCGCCTGCCGCCGTTGAGTGTTTTCGCGTCCTAACCCAATAATACTGGTCAGTAATTTGTACCCAATTCACTCGCCGCCATTAACAAACCTCTTTACTGCCCTCAATAAACAAAAACTGAAATTCGGCCCAGCATTACAAGTCCAGCCGACACTATCACTCCGGAAACACTAGTACATTAAGCTACTTGAAATGACCCCAAGTTTCATAGAAATACCAATCTAGCTACTACAGAAAATAGAATATAATATAGGATCTCAAAGTCAGACTCATTCTCCGAACATTAGAGCCACGATGTCTGAGAACGCCATTCTAAGCCAAGGAAACCGTAAGATATCCCTCAGGGACCGTTTCAAGCCTCTTCAGCGTTATTACCAACAAAACAGGACCAAATCGAAACTGAACAAATCTCCACATAGTACGTTTGGGACCCAAATATTTGACGTTTAGCCCCCTTTTATCACTTCGAATGGCAGCTCTTGAATCGAAACTACGAAACGCCAACCATATCGCCGATTTGCAATTCCCCAGTTTCAAATCAAAACGTCTCATCTCCTCAAGGAAACCAGACTTCATCAGTCACGGACTTCGGACTACGGCCATTCATAAATGTCGCCGAGAATTGCTCCATTTTAGGCCCACTATTAATGTTATCCGTTCTTCACATCCAGCTCCATGTAATCCCGAATGGAATAGCCCGTGCCAGCTGCCCCGAAGTGCATCGACAAACAAGTAGCTACTCAAATATTCAGCGGAGAAAAAAAAACTCGTTGGTCACGCCACTGATGGGAATATCTTGTAAACAGTAAACATTATCCGACTGACCATTTAGCCAGCATTTCTACTGGGACCTCGTACATTTTGAAACCAAATTATCAAATAAGAACGCTAGGGCGCAGGTGTAGCAGAGGTCCGCTACTTGTCCATTAGGGGAGGAAGTATGATCCATCATAGTAATTAATTAACATCAACAGCCTGCATTAGCTCGTTGCTAACGATGTCTTGAGCAGGGCGTCAGAGGGGAGCTTTGCTAATTACGACCCCCCCTCCCCTTCTACATTTTCTTCTCCGGTACGACTCACCTTCCACGATTTTATCTGTTACAAACATTCCCAAAGATTTGCCACCGAGCGCGAGGGAGGACAACGGAAGGGGAGGGGGGGGGAGGAAGAGGTTAAAGAGGCGTTTTCGATCAATTATCAAAAATAGTAAAATTTTCGCCCGCCGTCTAGTAGGGAAGAGGTCTGAAACGGGAGAAATCACCAACTACCAGCGACCAAATACGACACCCGTTTGGATCCCCTAACGTAGGGTGTGCCCCGTCGCCAATGTGCTATGTGACGTCACTGACACGTCACCGTATTATTTGGCAGGGTGACGTCATTGACACGTAACCACGCCTATAACTTGGCGCAATACGTGCTGGGCCGTATGCAGGCACTACTCCTTTCTAAAACAGCACTTCAAAGAGGACGAAAAGCCTCGTGTCCCTTAAACCGAGCCGGATCGGCACGGACTGTCAAATGAAGTGCAGGCCCTTAACTACAAACTACCGCCCCTACTTACCCATTAATCCGATCTCCATGCATAATCACTGACTAACCTGAGCTGTCTATAGCAAAAAATGCCATGCCATTTCCTCCAACAATGTTATAGTCGAGCACAGCTGTTGGACTATCCTGATCCGACGCTTTTACCGTTAAGACGTCCGTACCAATGGGCATGTTCTCTGAAGTTGATGAAATTCGTTGAACATTTGGACTTTAAATAGATTTCTAAATTCCTGACCATAAACGCTGGCTTCTAAGGCAATGTCATCAAACTTCAGGAGGGTGAAGATTCTCGTCCACATCTTCCAATTCGACCACAAACGAGCATGTCGTGCTCAGTACCGTCTCGCCATTGTCACCAACCTGGAATCACCTCAGTTTTGTCTTTTTCTAAATATTGATTAATTATGTGGTCGAGTATCCCTCGAATCCCCAGAAAGACTTTAAGTTAGTTACTAAAAGGAAGGGCTTTTCAGTACCTTTTACCTCTTTTCGATATACCTCCCCTCTCCCCAAATCGTTTAAGTTTCTCAGAACTGCCAGCCAGGAAACGGAAGGGCGGTGAAGAGAAGTAATCGCTCTCAATGGCCTCTTTCAGTGACCTCAGGAACCCACACAGCTTTACAACTCTGAATTGCACTTGAAAAATACCCGTCTCTCCACACGGTGAATTCTCCCGAGCTCAATGAAGGAAATTTGGGGAAAAAGCAATCTAGGAGGCACCAGCAGCATGACCATTTACCTCATGTCATCTCTTTTGTGCCTTGTCCAGGGCAGGTCCAGCTGTTGGGGGAAATTTTTGCAAAAACGACCCCCCTCAACGCTTCCCTAACCTTACGACCCCTCTCCCTCCTACCAACGATCTTCCTGAATTTTCCCAACTTCCTGTAACTTTCCCGGAGCTTTTTTTCAAAAAAACCCACACGGGCGCAGGCACACAAGCATGACGTGACACGGAGGTTTCCCTCCACCTTTGTCCCGGAACCCCTTTTTCTTAGGCTACAAAAGACAAGAATCAATCATAAAAGTCATTTTCGCGATTCAGCATGATGCAGCATAATGTGTTGCTCAAAAAGAACAAGTACGAGAAATATATTTTCACCAGTTATTTGGAAACCATTTATTTCCTCCCTCTCCGAGACCCTTCCCTCATCTCACGTTACCCAGATAACCACAGGGATTCTCACTGAACGGCCTCATATATCTCACA